AAGGGGAAGGAGGACTTCAACTTATGTTCAAAGCGATTTGAACTGGGGGGAAGCATGCTTGGCTTCAGTGCAGAATGAAGAGGCCTAGAGTTTAGCATTTCGGCATTCCTGAGCTTTGTCGAATATGAGTGGTCAGTCTAATTTACTTGGATCATGTTGGACCTTCAACATATACCGGGGTAGCCGGCACTTTCAAAACACCCGTACGAAGCATCATGCATGTTGCTTTTCGTCATTCCGACCTGGCCTGTGGTGGGTACGGCACCACTCTTGCAGGATCTATTGCCCAGAAGCTCCCTCCAAGAGCTCAATGGCCTCCAGGTAAGCGTCGTGTGCCCGTTCTGCTTCTGCCTTGGGGACTCGCAGTTCCTGCACGCTCAGCCGTGAGGGTTGGCTGGTGCCACGTCAGGCCTGCTCGGAGGCGTGCTGCCAAGCGAAGGTCGGGAAAAGAAGCACCACGGCTGCATGAGCATTGTCAAAAGGATGAGGCAGGGGGCTGCGCGCGACGTGCGGCCCCTTTCCTCGAATTCCGAAGGCCGCTGTCCGTGTTCGAGCCGGAGTGTAGGGGCTTCGGGAACAAAGAAGGCATGTGACCAACAGCATTTGCGTGCATTCCTTCGATGCCCCTTTGGCCCTGCTCAACAAATCAGCAGAAGCCGTCAAGGAAGCAGCTTCAGGTTTCCCCCAGTTGTTCCCAGCCTGCCCAGAAAACTTCACAAACTTGCAGGGAGATGTGCGATCTGTTTGTTCAAGTACATCTTATCAGAGGTCATTAGATTATCATTAGATGTGAATCGGCAAACAATTCGTATCTTGATCTATAATCTTCACCGAAGCCCAAGGCCCTTCCAACAGATTTGGATCACAACCTGTTCCAGTGCGGGAACACCAAGCACGCCTCCAACCAATATGGAAGCTGACAGGGCCTTTCAGAGGAAACCTTCCCGCGACTTGCTGCCGGCCTTGTAGGATGTACCAGGGCGTTCGCGAGAGCCGCTGGTAGCTGGGCGTGGCGCAGCAGTGGAGGTACCAGTCCTGAGAAACTCCAAGGCGCTACCGGCGTCCATCCGCGCCTCAAAGGTTTCTGGGGACAACATCCACTTGGCACCACTTGGTTCTTGATAGGTTGATTGAGGTGTGTCCCAGTGTTCAGGGTTTCATGCATCCCAAGTGGTGCAGGATTTTGGCCGTGCCGTCCACAGTAGCAGGGAAGATACCAAAACAAAAGGATAGTCGAGCCCGCCCCCGCCTGCCTGGGGTTGTGGTTGGCACCACCCCGCCCTTACCAGGGGTTTGAACCGATCTCACTTGGAAAATTGCGGCTTCTGCTTGGCAGTGAAACGGGCTAGCCGTCCGCTTTACCTCCGGCACTCGTAAAAAACCCGATGTCCAAGTCGGGAGGATACCCTCCCTCCAACTAACATGGCACCTCACAGAGGGTCCCTGCAGGAGCAAATTGATCTTCCAGGTACCCTCCAACAAGTGCTATGTTAGTGAGAGAGAGGGTGAACAAAACAAATCGCTCGCAAGGACACAGCTCCGGAGGGAACCACCGCCATACCATGGAAGACACTTCCGCCGGGAGCCGCTCAATGAGGCTTCGGGGGCCATCTCCGATCGACCGGCCCCTCTTTGATTTTGCTTTTTTTTCCAGTGGCTTCCCATTGGCAGTTCCGCAAGAAGAGGGCCCCATTAGCCCCCCTTGCTGCAAAAATGCGTGGTTCCCAAATCCGCAAAAAGAGGTACCCTCCAAAAAGTCACAGCGGGATGTAGGCTGGGGAGAAAAGGCGCGAAGACCCGAGAGAAAGGCACTTGATGTCGCCTCCGGATAAATCAACCTGGCGGACTAATAAGTAGGTGCTTCCCCACAAAGGGATTCGGGTCGCTCCGCAATGGGTTCCGCCTTTCTATTCACCAACCACAGGTGTTTTTTTGCCGGGGCTGAATCCTGAAAAGGACCCTCCTTTGCTCGCGGCGCCTTATGCGTCAAGCGCCGCTCCGCCAAAAGGAGCTCGGCCGTCCTGGAAGCATTCCGAAGCTTGCGGTCACCGGAAGTTGGGTTGCGGCAAACGGCACAACTCACCCAATTGCAGGAGTCACGTCACTGGATTGTCCCTTTCGCCTAAGGTTGCAATTGACTAAGTCACTTCTGCCAAACATAAAAACAAAAAGGAGAAATCCAGGCACCCCGGCAAAACCATTGAGATGGCCTGTGAAGACCCCACCGGCAAAAAAGTATGTGTTGAGAACCGAACCCAGAAGTTCACTTTTAATGAATCTCAGATGCATCTGATTCTCTTGAGGCGGTTGTTCCCAGCACTCAGCACTGGATTTCTGCACATGAGCCACGGACAGAATGTTCTACTACCTTACATGGAAAAATCGAGAATCCCCAGATCTTTGCGGGATCCATAGACAAAGCAGGATATGTTGACCAAATCTTGGCACCATTTAAGCAAAACCCTGCCAAGACGGCTATGTATCATCCTTCCAAATCCAGTAGGAACATGGGCCTGCAAGTGAAAGTGAGCAAACCAGACCAAATGTCTACTCTTGAGGGTTTGCTTAGCTTTTACTAGCTCAGACCAACAGGGTTCCTGATATGTCCCCTTGAAACATCACCCCATCAAAGACATCCAGTTCAAATTGGCCAAAGATGATGCTCTCTCGCGCCAAAAAGGGAAGCACACCTTCCCAAGAAAAAGATGAAAGTGCCCAAACCTTTTGTTGGAAGACGAGGTGTCCTTAGCGGAGTCCTTAGTGCACCCAGCCACGTTGGAGCCTAAGGATGCAACTGCGCACCCCTGGGGTTTCGTTTCAGTTATTTATTTGGTGGTTGTCGGAGGCTTGGATTTGGATTTGAACAGGTCCCCTGGTTCTTGTGGGCCAATGGGAAACCACCCACCAAACCACCAAACCACCAAACCACCAAACCAACCCAATCCAAACCCCTGGTTCTTGTAGAAATAAAATGGGAACGAAACCACCAAACCACCAAATCACCAAATCACCGGGCTCCAAAGAAAGCTGATCTAGGTCCTCCAGTAGAGAGGTTAGACTACGGGTACTTTTTTTCTGTAGTCTATTTTAGTAGGAAGAAGGTCCCAACCAAAAAAGGGGTTCAAAAGGGCACCTAGCTGAAGGACCTACCCGCTCCTTCCAGGCAATGCCGCCGCCATGGGCCGGGCATGTGCTTTCGGTCCCCCGACGAGAGCGGGCGCGAAGCTTTGCGCGCGACTCACGCGGGTGGATCTCCCCGAGTTTTGGGGGTGGTCTTTTACGGGGAAATCAAGAGAAGGCGGAGAAATTATTTGGGTGTGTCCCAAAGTGCGTGACCAAACCAGGTTGATTGATGATAGGTTTCCCTTCACCCTCATTTCAAGAAGTAACTCTATCGTTCATTCAAGCAGACTGGAAAAGATTAGAACAAAACACACTCCACGTCGGAGGTTCTTGTCTTTTGCCTGCTTTCGCCTTTCTGATGTTTTCTCCGACTCTGCCTCTGGCGTAAGTCTCGTTTTTGACTGAGGGAATGCAAGTCAATCCATGTGCGCTGGTTCCCTCCAAATGGTCCCCTTACAGTCGACACTGTCAACTTCATATTGAAACGAGGGACCATGCCAAGCAGGAGTGGCTCCTCTTTTAGCAGGGAGTTGATTCCACTTGGGGTTTCTGCTGACCTGTCTGGTCCTCCAGATAAATCGATATCATTGATTTCATTTCCGTGAGTTGCAAGGCTTGAGATGTAAGCGCCTGCGTCGGACGTATCGAAACTGCTTCTGGCCTTGAAAGGCAGGCTCACGAATAGTTGTCCAAGCCATCGCCCCGTGGAAGCATGTGGGAAACCCATCGTCATGGCAAATGGGGATGGGTCTCTTTATTGGGCCTAGTTGGGTCTTGTGATTGGAGCGCAGATTTCTCGCACTCGGCTCACAACACCTCGGCTTCAAAAGAGTGGCGGCATGTCTCCGCTGTTGGGTTGGGCGAACCTCTTGTTGAAACTCCTGCTGTCTAGATTTCCGAGGAGGGCCAAAGCTTGGCTGGTTCAACATATGCCCAACCCCGCCTCACCAGGTTGATCGAACAAACGGTGCCTTGGGGCAATGAAAACGTGCTGGCCATGTTTGAGGAAACACCCATGAAATTGGGGGCGTGGGGCTCTCCAACTCAAAGCCACACATTGAGCCAAGACACGCACAAACACCGCGAATGGTCCAGTCCCTGCTGGCACATGTGCTAGAGCATGGGCAAAAGTGAGCAAAACCAGCAGACAACGGGCCCGCGCACCGGAAAACCTGAACAAACCAAGGTCTAGGCGAACTACAATCGTTCACCAACCCAAAATCAGAGAACATCTTGTAGAAGGAGCTAGATTGACATAGGGGTTCGAGGTGGCAATCAGCTGGTAGGTTGGCAACCCCGGTCCATGCCCGCGAGCAACCCCGAGCTTTGTCAGGAAATTTGTTGAATGCGCGCTCCCTTTTAAACGTTTCAATAAAGGGCTCCTCATTTGAGAGACTCAAAAGAAACATAGACACTTGCACCGACCCTTTCAAGACTATTACGCGCCAGGGGATGAAGAGAAGCAGTCGCAAAATCTATTTTGAAGGATGACATCGTGTCCTGGGAAAGGGCTGCGTCCGACTCCATAGTTCCCCTTCCCCCCTCATTTTAATTCACCGATCAGGCACAAATCACTGCGATGCACTGGTTTGTGCGGGTGGATGTCCAAAAAAAAACGAGGCAACACCAGAATTGAAAGGAAAACCTACCACTTTGAGGCTTCCGCATTCCGTGACATATCAACTGGGACCAATGAACCCAAGAGAAGCACTGTTCGTCAGCCTGCTCGAAAGAGGAGCTGCTGTACAGACAGGCTTGCAACATGTCCGCAGCCGAAGCCAAACCGTAGTGCCAGGCGGGTGTCCCGAAAAATGCAGGTTCAGCGACCTGTCACCCATGATTCGGATGGCTGGGGTATTTTGGCCCAAATACCACGCCTCCTCCCGTCGTGTGCCGCCCCGCACGAGCATGAGGGCGAGACCTGAAACTGAACGTCGAGAGCGGGGGAACTGGACACGTGGAATCCGCAACGAGTATGAGCTGACCCCAAAGCCTGGCTGCGTGTGGCTCGGAATCCTCAGATGGCTATGTTTGGCGCACCCATGCGCCCCAGCCCCCCCCCAAGCACCGGCCATTCTGGGCGAATTGCGAATTCAACCCCATGAGCGGATCCGGATCATGGGGCGGGTGGTTCGGGGGTTTCAGGAACAGTTCTACGTGGCTGTATGTGGCATGGAAAGGGGACACCCTCATCGATATTCATGGGCGTCTGGGTTCCAGCCTTCCGGGAGGCTTCAGGGCTGTTAATACTCCTTGGCCTTGTGCCTTCGACAGGTGTCATGTTGGGTGTCCCTTTCCAAGCCCCGTTGGCATCTTTGGACCATCCGGGCAATCTCCTCTTCGGACTCGCTACGAAATTTGGCACCTTGCTCTTTTTGCTCTTTCTTCTTTTCCTTTTCTTTTTTTTTGGGGGGGGGAGGGGGGAGTTTGGGCATTCGTCTCTTCTTCTTCCTATCTTTGGGGGAAAAAAAACCGTATGGGCATCCTTTTCAGGTTTGCTCCAACCAAAGAAAAAATACGAAGAGACGCCAGCCATCGAAAGGACCTTGAGGCGCCCCGGCGCCGCGCCGCGCGGCTGGCGGCGGAGGCCTCCGCCCAGGTCTCGCCCTGCGAGACGTTCGGAAGCCAACTCGGGCGAGGGCCGTTTTCAGATCTGCTAAACGGATTTTGCCGTTTTGTTTTTTTAAATCTATTTGTTTAGTTATTTTTGTTCTCATAAGTATGATTATTCTTATTGTTATACAAAAAGGTGGGGGTGTCAAAAGTTGTCTCTTCTTTGCACTACTAGTAGTAGTGAGAGGAAAGAAATTACTTCGCTTCGAGCAATCCCCACCCTCCACACTCACGAGCTTACGACCGTGAACACGGTTGCGTGAATTCAAGCATGGTTTTCGGGTGGCTTGGGGCTTATGACTGCTCAACAAGCTTTGCGTTGAGAGCCTTATCCACCTGTCTGTGTGTGTGTGCGTGTGTCAAACTCCACCTTGTCTGCGAATGTCTGCGAGCCGATCTCGAGAACTCAAACATCGGTTCCGTTAACAAAAGCCAAGCCCCCCCCAAAAAGAAACCCGACGGGGGATTAAACGAAGTTGCTTATTCACAACCCAAAGCAACACGAAAGCATCACCCTTTCCGAGCCTCAGGGTACACTCAACACACGCAGGCGCCAACATGAAATGCAAACCCAACTGTGCGCCGGGCGGGACATTAAGCAAAACCAGACTGGCGGGCTGCTCTGGTGGGATACTCAGCGGGATCCACTGGCGAGCCGCTCTGGCGGGATACTCGGCGGGATCCACTGACGAGCCGCTCTGGCGGGATACTCGGCGGGATCCACTGGCGAGCAGCTCTGGCGGGATACTGGGCGGGATCCAGTGGCGAGCAGCTCTGGCGGTATACTGGGTGGGGGCGTGGCATAGAAGCATCGCAAACGCGGATTCCAACATAAAATCTAACAACCCCTTTCTGTCGCGTGGCAAAAAAAACGTTTGGGATAAACGGGATAAACCAATGGTACCATTTTGGGATAGATGCACCACCCATTTTAGGACCTATTTTAGTGGGCATTGGGATGTTCACTGGGGGTACGGGATTTTGACCCACAGCCACTTGTAGGGCGGGGGGGGGGGGGTCATGGAAACCCACCCACTAAACCACCTAGAAAGAGATTTTTTTTGTTTAAGCGCTCTGTATCACATAACTGGGAGCCACCAACACAGGAGGTTTGGAAACCAAACCCAAGTTTGGAAACCTCGAGAAACCACAAGGAATCCCAATATATTCAGGTTCGGATTCATGTCCACCACTTTTGAGGCGGATCCCGGCCAACATGCACTGCCACATGGATGCAAATGTGCACTCTCAAGAAGAATATAATTCCACGTGTTGGGAATTGGGTGTGTGATTCCATACCCCTTTGAAGGCTGAAGCCAACGGGAAGCCCAAAGGAAACAAGGGAAATCGCCCATTTGTTGGGGTCGCTCTGTGACACATACCCATGTAGGAGTGGCACAGATTTTTTCCTTACCTCAGAGGGATAGCTGTGGGAAATCTGCCCCGGATGTCCCGAAGAACCAAAATCCTGACACCTCACCTGGTGAGGCTAGAGACGGGAACGCCGCTTTCCTCTCTCTTTTTTACGATGCGCACACCCTGGCGTCGTCTAAAGGACGCGTCAAAGAAATTATACCAACCATTGGGGGCCTGCGGGCCCTTCCTCGCAACTGGTCGCAAGTTCACCTCTCCCACAGATTGATCCGTGTGCAACTGTGGCGTTGCAAAAAAAAACCTTCGGATGCGTTGATTTGCATTGGACTCCCCACCCAAGCTACCGCTTGACTCGAATCCCGGAGATGCGGCGCAGTTGAAAGCTGCGGAGGTACAGCCCACGGCCCATCCGCCAGGTACCTTGTCTTCCCTGGCGACTGTCCTGCTGGACAAAATCGAATTCGGATCAGTGCCTTCTCAAGCCACCAACGGGCACTCCTCGTGTTACGGATCCATCTCGGCCCGCCCCTGGGATCCTTCAAAAGGAAGCGGCCGACGCCGAACCTTACAAGATCGTCTCTTTCGGCCGCGGGAAAACCCAGGGGCCCTCGAAGGATCCCAGGGACGAAAGGCCTCGTGAGGGTCCCCCTTGGAGGCTCGCCACATGTGGCCCAGCCGCCAACTTTGTGGTTCAGCCTGCTGTACCTGTGCACGAGACCAAAGTGCTTGTGGGCCTCAATTTTTGATGCATGATCAATCCATCACGCGAGGTGCGCGTGCTCACCCGCGCGCTCCGCGTGTTACACCTCAAAAGGTAGGCGGCTACGCAAAAGAGGCTGCAAAAGATGCCTGGAGGATTCCCCACCCTCCAGTGGACAGCGACTAACGACTCGCCGTCTCAGATGTATCCATCAAACCCCCGCAGCCGGCGGTTGTCGTCCCACTTGCCGTCGTCCGCGCCGCCATCCTCTCCCCCGCCGAGCATTGTGGAGCCGATAGTGCCCACCTTCAAAAAAGGAAAGGCCGTGCTCTCAAGTCACAAAGTGAGGAACAACCAGTGATGGGAGTCTGCAAAACCCAAGTGGCTTGAGGAGGAACCCAGTATGGTGGGCTAAAAGCATGGGCGTACTGGTATCTTGATAAGGTGTGTAACAATAGCTACAACCCTAGAACTACAATGTTCTGCTCCAAGTGATGGGTTGAACCCTATGAAGACCCAATTAGAATCCCACAACTTAACAAGAAGGTCCCCAATAATTCCCGATCAACAAATTGACAAGTCACACAAGCAACCACCATCTACCATCACATTCCATCTTCCCAGTGACAGGGAACTTGCTGGTGCAACTTAGGATCAAATTACAATCTGTTTGTGCGAGTCTTTGCGTAAAAGGGGTTTGGTGCAAGCGAAATCGCCCAACGTGGGAAGGGTCCCTCAATATTCCCCAAACGAGGGTGAAAAAGGCACCCCGTCCAATCATGCCGATAAAAGTGGGGGATATCTTGGAGGTACCTTGCAAATGGACCGCCTTTCCCCGCGAAAATAGCGAACCCAACCCCTCAGCTATAGCTTCCAAAATTGCACCAGCTTTAAAGCAGCCGATAACAGCTTGTAACCAGAAGACAGCCGAGCCCCTACCCCAGGTGTGAAACTTAGGGGCACTGTTTGGTATCCCCGTGAAAAGCCAGCACGTACACCAGGGTCTAGCAAGGAACCGGCCCAATGGCTGTGGGTCACAAATAGGTACCCAAAATGGAACCTTGGTACATGCAACACATATGCGGTCCAATTCCTGGTGGTGACTAATTTTGACCCATAACCAACTAAGATGGTCAACCAAGTCGGAGGTAAGGGGGTTTGGCAAAGTCAAATGCCCATCCAAGGAGGCCCAAAGAACTTTGACCCATATCCATATGGGTGTGGCTCAAAAAACAGAGCCAGGGTCACGCAAGTTTCAGTCTCTGGTTTCATTTACCAAGATGCCATTTTGGTACATGTCTTTGAGCCAGCCATATTTACGACAACTCCCATTTCCCCTACATGCTAGGTGCTTTGTCAACCAATGCTCCCAGCATATCTTTTGGTCTATCCGTGCGAAGCGGATTTCAACGCCACTCCGCCAAGCAGCGGATCATTCTTCCCCAGACGCCTTTTTGTTGGGCACATGTGTTTTTGAGCCTTCTGGCCCCCTGCGCCAGCCACATCTGCGACAGACAACTCCTCCCGCCTTGATCTTGCCGTACCTCACGCGGGCATCTGGGAACTTCTCCCGGAGGTAGGAGGGCTTCCCCGTGTCCGTGAGGCAGGGGCCCCTGTCCACCCCGGGCTCCGTGGGCTCCTGAGGGCGCGGGCGGAGGAGGTCGCCCTTTTTTTTCCCCTGCAGGTGGCATAGACTGGTGTACATTTATGGGGGGGATGGGACGGGGAGAGAGAAAGAAGGAAGGAAGGAAGGAAGGAAGGAAGGAAGGAAGGAAGGAAGGAAGGAAGCAAGAAAGAAAGAAGCAAGAAAGAAAGAAAGAAAGAAACAAAGAAAGAAAGAGTTGCGCACAGCTGTGCATTCATGTTATCGTGTTGTGTTACATACCTCATTGTGCATTGTATGTTGTGCAATTCAGCCCCAAACATGGTTTCCCTCAGAAAGGGACATTCACCATTGGCGAGGTGCAAACGCCCCTCTGCGCTCCATCTGCGCTCCATCTGCGCTCCATCTGCGCTCCATCTGGCCCCATCTGCGCCCCTCTGTGAGATCCAGCGACTTGCCCAAATGGCTAGTGTCGTGTCTGGCAGTCTTGTCTGGCTGCCCTTGTGGAATGTCTGCCTTACAATGCAATGGTGTCGGCCTCCTGACACCAAATGCAAAGTCGGATTCTGGGTTCTTGTACTTTGCTCCTTCACAGGCACGGCTCTTTGGGGATAAGCTGAGCCCCTCCAGTCTTGGTGCTTGAACATTTTGAAACTTGCCCAAAACCATCGAAACTGCAGAAAGCTATCTGTCGGCAGCTCGTCCTTGTCCAGGGGGTACTTGGAGTCCAGCCACAACATGTTGGCTTCCTGAGGCAGACAGCAGTCCTCTTAAAGCATCCTTTGCAAGATGGAAGGCCCATGATTAGAACCATGGGATGTCTGGCAAGATGCGGCCGGATGATACATTCCCCCCCTGACCATGGCTGCCAGTTCAGACATCTGCCTCTCTTCATCTGGCGGATGCATTGGTTGCAAGGAGGCCACATCTTTCGGGGGGGTCAAAGTTGGATCCCTTTTTGTTTATAGAAAATGCATCCAGTGTGTGTGTATGTATATATATATATATGAGCATTTGACTCATGTGGGGTGTCCCTCCCAAACAAACTATTGCTGGATGGCCGGCTGAAAAACACCGTGAAGTGGTGCAAAGAATGGGCTTGACCCTGCACCCCCCGACCACATAAGCCACAAGCCGTGGCTTATGAAACCGAATTGAGACCACTCGGCCCTGGTGGCAAGGTCTTTGGACAGCCTCGATGGAAGATGTGCCAATGGAATACATGGGTCTCTTCATCCAAACAATGAGTTTTTCCGCCACATACATCTACACCATGGTTTTGCGCTTGCGTTCTCCATGGCCTCGTGTTCTAAAAGA